GGTCTAGATCTTTACAGTGAATTCATGACCTTCATTTTCTAACCCCAATGTACTTTTTAAGAGAAAATTGACCAGGTACTTATTCATTATCCAGTCTCTTCTAGGTACTGTACAATACATTATGTTTCAAGGATTATATTAATCCTTATAATAACTGAGTTTTGAAAGTGAAGGGATGGAAAAAATATTTTCAAATGGAAAACAAAAGCAAGCTGGGGTAACTATGCTTATATCAGACAAAATAGACTTCAAGAAAAAGGCTGTAATAAGAGAAAAAAGAAGGTCATTGTATAATAATAAAGCAGTCACTCCAACAAGAGGATATAACATTTGTTAATACTTATGCACTAAACATAGGAGCAGCTAAATATATAAACCAAATATTAACAGACCTGAAAGGAAAAATAGAAATGCAGTAATAGTAGGAGACTTCAGTACCCCACTTTCATCAACGAGTAGATCATCCAAACAGAAAATCAATAAGAAAACATTGAATTTAAATGACACTTTACACCAGATGGACTCAGCAGACACTTACAGAACTTTCCTTCCAAAAGCTGCAGATACACATTCTTCTCAAACACATTTGGTCCATTCTCCATTATATATATCATGACATATCATTATATAGAATAGATAATATATTAGACCACAGCACAAATTTTAATAAATTTAATTAGATTGAAATCCTATCAAGCCTCTTTTCTATCCATAATGGTATGAAAGTAGAAATCAATTACAAGAAGAAAACTGGAAAAATCACAAATATGTGGAAAGCCAACAACATGCTGCTGAACAACCAATGGGTGAAAGAAGAAATCAAAAGCAAAATCAAGAAATATCTTGGGAAAAATGGAAATACAGCATACTAAAACTTATGAGATGAAGCAAAAGCAATCCAAGAGGGAAGTTCATAGCAATTAATGCCTACAACTTCAGGCCATAACTAAACTTTATACCTCAAGGAACTAAAATGAACAAATTAAACCCATAGTTATTAGAAGGAAGGAGGTAAACAGAGCAGAAATAAAGGAAATAGAGACTAAAAAGACAACAGAAAATATCAATGACATTAAGAGCTGATACCTTGAAAAGATTTAAAAAATTAGATTCACCAAAAAAAAAAATGAAAAGAGCCCTCAACTAAATAAAATTATTTATAAAAGAGGAAACATTAGAACCGAATGCTACAGAAATACAAAGATCATAAGAGACTACTGTGATTAATTGTACACCAACAAATTGGACAACCTAACAGACATGGGTAAATTTCTAGAAACACAACCTACCATGACTTAGTTATGAAATAGAAGATCTGAGCAGATTAATTAGTAGGGAGATTGAATCAGTAATTTGAAACCTTCCAACAGGTCAATGACCATATGGCTTCACTATTGAATTTTTGAAACAATTAAAGAAGAATTAATGCCAATCCTCAGACTCTTCCAAAAAAATAGAAGAGGAGGGAACACTCCCAAACTCATTTTATAAGAGCAGCATTACCCTGATACCAAAACCAGAGAAGAAAACTACAAGAAAAGAAAAATACAGGTCAATATCCCTGATGAATATAGATGCAAAAATCGTCAACAGAATATTAGCAAACTGAATACAACTGTACATTAAAAGGACCATGATGAAGTGGGATTTTTTTTTCCAGGGTTCCAGTGATGATTTAACATCCACAGATCAAATGGTGTGATAGACCACAGTAACAAAATAAAGGATAAAAAATTATATAATCCTCTCAACAGATGCAGAAAAAGCATTTGACAAAATTTAACATCCATTCATGATGAAAACTCTCAACAACATGGATATAGAAGGAATGTACCTAAATATAATAACATATGACAAGCCCACAGTTAACATCATACTCAATGGTGAAAAACTGAAAGCTTTCTCTCTAAGATCAGGAACAAATCAAGGACGCCTACTCTCACCACTTTTATTCAACATAGTACTGGAAGTCCTAGCCAAAGCAATTAGGCAAGAAAAAAATAAAAATAAAAGTCACCCAAATCAGAAAAGAAATAAAACTGTCTATTTGTAGATGACATGCTATTAGATATAATAAACCCTAAAGACTTCACACACACACACAAAAGTTAGAACAAAGAAACAAATTAGTAAAGTTGCAGGATACAAAATCAGTATTTAAAAATCAGTTGCATTTCTATACACCAATAATGAACTGTCAGAGAAATTAAGAAAACAATCCCATTTATAATTGCATCAAGAATAATAAAATACCTAGGAATAAAGTTAACCAAGGAAGTGAAAATCCTATACACTGAAAACTTGAAGACATTGATGAAAAAATTAAAGACACAAATAAATAGAAAGATATTTCATGGTCATGGATTGAAATAATTAATATTGTTACAATGTCCTTATTGCCCAAAGCAGTCTACATATTCAGTGCAGTTCCTATCAAAATTCCAATGGCATTTTTTACAGAAATAGATCAATCATTCCTAATGGACACACAGAAGACCCCAAATATTCAAAGCATCTTGAGAAAGGTGAACAAAACTGGAGGCATCACACTTCCTGATCAAACTTTATTACAAAGCTGTAGTAATCAAACAATATGGTATTGGCATAAGAACAGAGCACAGATTAGTGGAACAAAATAGAGTACCCAGAAGTAAACCCATGCATATGTGGTCAATTAATTCATGACAAAGGAATCAAGAATATATAATGGGGGAAGTGTCTTCAATAAATGGTGGGAAAACTGGACAGTTACATGTAAAAGAATGAAATAGGACCACTATCTTAAACTATACACAAAAATCAACTCAATATAGATTAAAGACGTGGATGTAAAACCTGAAACCATAAAGCTCCTAGAATAAAACATAGTGGATAAGCTTCTAGACATCAATCTTGGTAGTGCTTTTCCGGATTTGGCTCCAAAAGCCAAAATAAATGGGACTATGTCAATCTAAAAACCTGTGCAACAAAGGAAGTCATCAACAAAATGAAAAGGCAACCTATGAAATGGAAGAAAATATTCACAAATTATATATCTGATAAGAAGTTAATATCCAAAATATATAAAGAATTCATACAGCTCAGTAGAAAAAAAAATCCAATTAAAAAATGGACAATGGATCTGAATAGACATTTTTTCAAATAAGACATCTAAATGGCCAACAAGTATGTGAAAAGATGCTTAATATCACTAATCATCAGAGAAATGGAAATCAAAACTGCAATGGGATACCACTTTACATCTGTTAGAATGGCTATTATCAAAAATATGAGATAACAAAAAGATATACAGAAAAGGGAACCCCTGTGTACTGTTAGGGAATATAAATTGGTTCAGGCACTATGGAAAAGAGTATAGCAGCTGCTCAAAAAATTAAAAACAGAACTACCATGTGATGCAGCATTTCCACCTGGGCATCTATCCAAAGGAAGTGAAATCACTGTCTTGAAAAGATGTCTGTATCCCTGTGTTCATTGTAGCATTATTTACAATGACCAGGACACAGAACAACCTATGTCTCCTGATAGATGAATGGATAAAGAAACTGTGGTATGTATGTGCAATGGAATATTATTGAACCATAAAAATGAGGGAAATCCTGCCACTTGCACCAACACAGATGGGACGTTGGTGCATTATGTTAAGTGAAATAAATCAGACAGAAAGACAAATACCTTATTATCTCACATTTGTGTGGGATCTAAAAATTAACCAAACTCATAAATACAGAGAACAGATTGGTGGTTGCCAGAGGCAGGCATTGCAGAGTGGGTGAAATGGGGGAAGGTGGTCAAAAACACGAACTTACGAGTTAAATAAATCTTAGGGATGTAATGTCGGCGTGGTGACTATATTTAATACTGCTGTATTGTATATTTGAAAGTTTCTAAGAAAGTAGATTGTAAGAGTTCTCATTACAAGAAAAAAAATAATAACTGTACAGTGATGGATGTTAACTAAACTTATTGTGGCAATCCTTTCACAGTATATACACATATCACATCATTTTTGTACACCTAAAACTAATACAGTGTTATTTGTCGATTATATCTCAATTAAAAGGAATATGGAAATCTTAAAATAGCTATTGACTCTGTGAATAGGACACAAGAAAAAAAACAATAAAATATAAGACAACTTTAGGTTATTTCAGAGAGTAAAAGTAGTTTAAAAATAAAGTCATTCTTAGGAAGAAGTTTTGGGAAAAGGTTCTTACCTGACTTAAAATTTTAGTTGTAAAATTTTAGATTAATCCCTTTGTTTTCAGATGATGAAAATGAGATGTTACCAGGTAAAAGTAACCGCCAATTATTGGTAGAGTATGATTCCAACTCTCATATGAAATCCAGGCCTTCAACTCTTGACTTCTGTCTTCCAGTGCTTTTCCACTGTTCATGTTTCTTATCTAACCACTTGGTTTAAAAGTGGCTTGGAAATTTAGTGATCTCTGAAAGACCTTTCTACTTTTACTTGCCCATATTCTTCAGTGGATCTTTCAGCAGCTAAGCTCTCCAAAGTCTCCCAACTGCCATTCATTCGAAACTTTATTTTACTCTAAAATATACACCCTTTTCTGAGAAGCAAGAGCTTAAATGTAAGTCTCATTCAACTCCTGAGTGCTTTTTGTGTTAGACTTTTGAGCATAAATGTTACTGTGCTAGACATTTTTAACACATTTATCTCACTGAAATCTTAGAACTATATGAGATATGAAGAAGCTAAGTTTGAGAAAAAAGATATTTTGGCCATTATTTCGTCAAATTGGCTAATTTGTTCTGATTCCATGTTCAGTACATTTTTCCAGTCTACCACACTAACCATTATTGTAAAAACCTCAGCCAGAGTGCCCAATTTATATAGCAATTGGTAAATCTCTAGTTGTAACAATTTTATTCTAAAACCGTTGTTCACATGTAAGTACAATGATTGAACTTTGTTGTTGAATGTATTTCACTGTTCATTGCAATTTAGTATTCATCCAGTTTCTCTTTCCTTTCAGGCCTGTATGTGGAATCAGAGGGAAAACCCTCATAATTAACCTGCCAGGTAGCAAGAAAGGATCTCAGGTAAGCAACCTTGTGATTTATACGATTTAGTGTAAAGTTTTAGCCAACTATGAGAGTTAGTCAACCAAGATGTTAGAGGACTCCATGAGACTGCCCTCCCTAGTGTCTGACACCAGTTGCAATTTAGTGCATTCCCAAAACCACCCTCAGTTTCAGTAATTCACTAGAAAGACTCACAGAACTCACCAAAAGATGTTAAGCTGACAGTTATGCTTTATGACAGAAAGAATACAGATTCAAGTTAACCAAGAGTAGAAGAGAGGTACCAAATGCAGACCTTCTGTTATCCTCTCCCTATAGAATCATGAATGCATTACTCTCTTGGCATCAGTGTATAACAGCACTGAAAATCAGGGAAGCTCCAAGACTTTAGTGTTCAGAGTTTTTACTGGGGCTCATCACATACTGCCTGTAATGCTGGCCTTTAATCTCTAGCCCTTTAAGGTTAGGCTGTTTCCTTTAGTCTCCAACATCTACCAGAGGCAAAACTGATACCAGAATGTCCAAAGCCCTCATCATAAATCACACTGTTACACTGTCTGGTAGCCAAAGTTCCCAGGCAACAAAGACACTCCTATCACATCCCAGTAACTGAGAGCTAAGGCCAGACTCTCTTGGAGTAAGGTTAATTCTTCATTGCACAAGCTGCCCCCCTGGCTTTTGGCCAAAGCTCTCTTACAGAAAAATGATTGTATTTGTCTGGCTGAGCATCTATATTTACTATAGCATTTATATTACAGATATAACAACAGTATCAGTGTGAATGTGTCTAAGATTTAGAGGAGCCAGGGTGGGATAGGGATAAATTTGAGAAACAGCTAATTTATTCTCTAAAGCCATTATACATATTTCATATTTTTGTACTAATATACTAATTTTTACCTTGATGTGCTATTTTTATCCTATGATACACTTGCACAGAACTAGTTCCACAGACATTAGCTACCTTGTTTAGGCCAGTCATTTTCCATTGGTATTACATTTTGAGGAGGATTTAACTCAATTTCCCAATACATATGATCATCAATATCAGTATTATAATCTTACTAGCAATGACAGTATTACAACATTTCACAGTAGTTGTAGATATAACCTGAAATATGAGTTAAAAGGTAACTGGCACACTACTGGAGTCCTACATAGACATTAACAGTTAGCGTGGTCTGTCATCATATCATATGATCAAAATGTCTCCCAGAACTACACTACTCAGGTTTATGGGCTTGTCAGGTTTCCAAAGCAGTAGTAGTCTCAGCAACATATGGCTTTAACTTTTCTGGCATCTGTTACAACTGAGCTAAGAAACAATATCCTCTCTTGTTCTAAAGATTTTGAGAAACCAATATATTGGATCTCCCTCATTGCATAACCCATTTATTCATTCCTTTACCTCCAGCTATCATTCCTCCTTCTTTCCATTTATACTCAGACTTTTCCTTTGAAACTCTTTTAATGAGACAGTTGATTTGGCCACTGTGCTGGTCCATATTGCCACCAGTAATATTCGTTTAACAAGTGCCACCTGCTTAGTCCTTTTCCATTCATACAAGGTAGGGTTACTAGTGAGCAATCTCAAACACCAGGCAATATAACTGCATCCACTGTCAGTCCCAATTTGGCCAGATGGAGTCAGGCATAATCTACCCCATCAGGCCCTTAGGCACTCTGACATAAAGGTTTAAAGGTATAGTTAATAGTTTCTGCTTAAGAATCATCCTGCTTCTGGTATGCATAGTTGTAGCTCTGATCCTAGTACCACAGTATCAGGTAGAAAAAAAGAAAGTTGATGTGATGTGCTAAAAGAAAAAGTATAGTCCTAAAGAAAAAAGTATAGTCATACCAGCATCGTGGCCCAGCCCCCTCTTCCCTAGAAAAGTAGAGGACTATATTTAGTGGGGACCTTCCCTTGGCCTCCCTCTTGTTGAATGGACCACACACTAATGAGAGCATATAAGCCATGCTTCTCCTTTTTTAGACAACAAATGTTTCCATAGCCCATTCCAATTTTCTGTCAAATCATTGCTCTGAATATGAAAGTGTGTACTTTGGTCTAAAGAAATATGACTCTGCAGTCATTGGTACAGTATTTTCTGTTTAGTCCTTTTATAGTACGCTGAGTATTTGCATCTACCATTGGGTAAGCAAAGCCCAGTCCAGAGTAAATGTCTATTCCTGTTAGGACTGATTTGTAGCCTCAAGGGACTAGCAGCATCAGTCCAACTTGCTAGCTATATGCAGGACTTTCCCCTATGGAATATGCTGCATAACCTTCTGCTGTCTCTCTTTTTTGTTAGCACACAGAACACTTCTCATTGGCATTTTTGTGCCTCAGTGGGTGCAAGAAGAATATATCAATTCAGCCCATATCTGCATCGTTGCAGCCCCCCCATTGCCCACTCATTTCATGGGCCCAGGTGCCATGTCAAGCATGCATACTGGGATATCTGTTCACCAGTTCCAATTAACTTCCATTTCTGAAAGGGGGTTCCTCTGATGGGCATTGATGTATCCTACTTTAACATACCCCTTATATTCCCAGAGTGACTTCCATAGGCCATGCCCCATACAAGCATCCATTTGATAGACCAATTTTCCATTGCCCTTCTGCCTGACCATATGGCCAGGCCACCGGACACTTCCTATGAGTTGGTAAAAACCCAAACATAGGGGCAAACATCATGCAGTTCAGCCTATCGAGCTGATTTGTTTTTACCTTCTTCAATCAGAGTGGCGGCCTTCCAAACAGGATGCTGTCCCTTCACCTTGGAATTGCCATCCATAAACCAAGCAGCATTTTGTTGATCAATAGAAAGCTGTTTATAGGGCACCGCCCAAGTGGCCCAAGTGGCCATAGGATCCAGCAGCTCCTCAGGTGGTTCCGAAGTCGACCCTAGGTGAAAAGAGGCTACCTGCTCGTGAGTACCTCCTTGTATTCTCCTGGTAGCATGATCCTATATGAACCATTTCCATTTTATTATGGAACTCTCCTGGGCATTGCCTTCCCCATTAGAGCATTTCTCTGATATTCCCAAAACATTATGGATATTTCAGGTTTCAAGATTATTTTATGTTCTTCAGTCATAAGGATAGTCTCAATTAAAATCCAATAGCACGCTAGTAATTGTCTCTCAAATGGAAATTTTCTGGCCCAAAGTCCCAGCAGTTGTTGCTAGGTGGTACTCACAGATTTTTTTCCATAAACCCAGTTTGCACTCCACTCAGGTCTGTTGTATAGCAAATTAATGACCTGTGTGGACTCAGGCAATCTTATTTGTTCCCACTTAGCATATATAATGTATACTGGTGGAAGAGTTGATTTATATGCTTTCTATTTTACAATACTAGGTAAAAGAAAAATTGTCCAGTCAAACACAATATCCATCCCCATAATACAATCAGGTAAAGGAGACAGATCACTTCATATGAAGTTCACTGTCCAGACATTCTAGTTTTCATCCCAACTTTCACTCTAATTCCATCAACTGTTGCATCCCTGTATCCTTCCAATCTAACTGTACCTCCCATTAGAACTTCAACAGGTATTAGGATCATAGTACATGGTGGATCCCATGTTGAGGAATCCCAGAAAAGTATCTTCTCTATCCCATGACCATTTTATCCATTTATGTGCATTTGGCCTTGGATTTCTAGGCCTGGTTTGGACCAAGGGATTCACATTCTTTTGTCAGGCCTTATCTTGATTAGATTATAGGACCATCACTTAAGGTGATGCAAGGTGAGGTTTCTTTTAGTTATATTTGCCTTCTAGTTTTTAAAATTCCTTCAGACTAGGGTAAATAGAGATTATTTAGGACCCTTCAATGTTGGGAGACCAGTGCTCCCATCTGTCTGCTCAACCCACAGTGCTGCTACATTAACACCTTTCTTTTGCCCCCAACAATACTCACTTTATAAATCCATTTTCTTAATAATTGCTTAAATATTTCTACCCTTATAAGACAAGTCCCTTGAATCTCTCATTTCTTTTGCTCCATTCTCTTATGAATAAGTCTAACTTTATTCACTGTTAATCACTTCAGCATAACATTTTTCTTTGGAAGCAGCTCAGAGGCCAGCAGCTATATGTTAGATCAGCCAAACTCTAAGATTGGCACAACCTTAGGATTCACCCCAACATTCTTCCTTTTGTTTTAGCTAGTGCAAATAACAATAATGAAGAGATTATAAATTTACCTTGTTTCTTTATACATCCAATGACACAACTCCTTAAAAGTTGGATCTTTTATTTCAAAATTCCATTGCTAACTTTTAGCTCCAATAACTAATCACAACACAGCTGCAATTGCATTCTGTGGGTGACCCTGTGTTTATCCAGCCTCTAAAGATTAATCCTCCCCACCATCTCTTCCTTTCTCTGCCCAGATGATGTTTCATGATCACATGAGTCAGGATCTTTCTAGTGAGTCACACTTCTAACACCAACTGTAAGGAGTTTGGGCCAACTGCAAAAGTTAGCGAACTATAAAGTTGGAGTACTCCACAAGACTTCCTTCACTTCTGACACCAAGTTGCAATTTAGGGAGTTTCTAAAACCCACCCTCAATTTTAATAATTAACTAGAAGGACTAACAGAACTCACTGAAAGCTGCTATACTTACCTTTGTGGTGTATTGCAGGGAAAGAATTCAGACAGAAGTCAGCCAAGAGAAGAAGCATATAGGGCAAATGCTGAAAGGTACCAAATCTGATCATCCTCTCCCATGGAGCCAGGGATAGCATTACCTCTTCTTGACCATAAAAGAGACAATACACACAGAATATCACTAACTAGGCACACTCACCTTTGCCTTTGATGTCCAGAGTTCTTACTGGGACTTGATCACATATTACCCATATGGTTGACCTTTAGTCTAACTCTTCCTAGAGGGGAAACTTATGCCTTTAGTCTCCAGTTCCATCCAGAGGCAAAACTAATACCATGTTTCCCAAAGTCCTCATAATAATCCACATTGTTAGATTGTCCAGTGGCCAAATCACAGGCAAACAAAGACACTCCTTTTAGGCAAGACCAGGAACTAGAGTTCACCTCCCCAAAGCTGAAAGTAAAGGCCAGAGCTCTCATTGGTCAAGATTAAATTCTTTGCTGTATAATCTTTATCACTAAAATGATTGAGCCATATAAAGAGAAGTCAAAAGATCAAGTACCCTTACAGATATTCATATAACCCTCTGTAAATTTTAAGATATTTTTTTACATCTTAAATTTTAAGGTAAGTTACTTTAAATGTAAAAGACAAAGTCCTCTGCCCCAACATATTCCCCAAACATATTTGGCCCTATGTTCTGATTTTAAAGTTCTCACCTATTCTCTTTTGGTGATACATTATAGGTAATAGTGGGCACTTGAACAGGAAACTATATTAATTTTTATGCAGTGCTCTGTACAAACATACCTATTTTTGCATATTGCACAGTTTTGCCTAGCTACATTTTATGATAATAGTCAGAACCTTAGCTGTCTGAATAAAATAAGTCAGTCCTCAATTGGTTAATTCTAGTGTTCTGCTCTGACTAGAAAGGTGAAAACTGTTTCCTGCCTTTCCCATAATGCATCTTTAAAACCCGAAGTTGTACAGAAATTTTACTTTAAGAAAAATGTACTATGTGCTTATATAGTACTGTAGTTCTACAGCTTACAGAGAATACTATGTACCATGTTTACTTCATATTTCATATTGCAAAAGATAATATTTTCAGTATGATTCATAAGATATATGGAGAGAAATATAGATCCAAAATCACAAATAAGTTTGAATTTTTACCATTTTATATGCCTATAAAAGTGCTTTATCTTCATTTTTTTTCTTCCTCTTGCATACAGGAATGCTTTCAGTTTATACTGCCAGCTCTACCTCATGCCATTGACCTTTTACGTGATGCCATTGTAAAAGTAAAGGAAGTGCATGATGAACTTGAAGATTTACCTTCCCCACCACCTCCTCTTTCCCCTCCTCCTACAACTAGCCCCCATAAACAGACAGAAGACAAAGGGGTTCAATGTGAGGAAGAGGAAGAAGAGAAGAAAGACAGTGGTGTTGCTTCAACAGAAGACAGTTCTTCATCACATATAACCGCAGCAGCCATTGCTGCCAAGGTAAGCCTGCTGACAGAGACCAAAAGATCTAAAGGAACCACAGGTAAATGTACTGATTTCATCCCTCTTACCATCCAATTTTTTCATAAGTTCAGTACCTTTTCAGGGCATCCTTAAAAAAGAACCAGGATATTCATGACACTCCGTAGCTATGTGCCCTCCATAATGTAGAGTCCTTAAAAGCATTGAAGTTTGTTCTCAGTTCTGAGACATTAAAGATTGCTGTTACCTACTGAAGTAATAGGTAAATAGGTAAAATGTGACATTTAAGAACTCTTTGGAAATGTCATTTTTGTGGTCATATTAAATATACAACATTTATATATTTAAAACATCAAATATTCACAAGTTCATAAAAGAGCAGCAGACTGCAAGTAAGAGACCTTAGATGACTCAAAAAATTAGTTGAGAAAGATTAATTTTTTTAAGACAGAGTTTTTCAGCAATTAACACTTATTTAAATGTTACTTGACCTAAATTACCGTAGTGATAGAGAGGAAATAGATATAATGTATTTGCATTTTTTATTCAATAAAGTAATAAATATTATTAAGATAGTACCAAAGTATTACAGATTCTCTTTGGGCAATTTTGGTAGTACAATGTACAGAGTACAATGAGGTACTTGCATAAATTTAGTCACCTTAGTCGTAGAATATCATTTACCTTTTTAGTCATACCTAGTATAAACCACCCAGTATGCTTTAAAATCTTCACAAAGTAACATATCACTTCTGGGAATAATGATTGTTCACTGACTGAGAGCACAAGATTGAAAACCTAATCTCACTCTATGAAGGAATTCCTAAAGTTTTAGGTTATCACCCAGATATTTTGGCTATGAGCATAGCTCTTAAGAGGATTTTTGACAACACATAGATTAGAAAGGATCATAGAAATCTTTTTAAAGTGTCCATTTAGACAACCAGTAGGTAATTCTTTCACTGAAGACCAAATGTCTCCATATCTATTCAGTGGTCCCTTAAGTCTTTACTTAAGGCTAGTAAATATTTAAATTGTATGTGATTTTTGTTTGGTTTGGTTTCATTTTGTTTTTATGGAACTGATTGGTTAAATAGGTACATTTTTAAATCATTACATCTTCTTACTCTTTTACTGTTAATTAAAAGAGTAAAAAGTACCATCAATTTCAGTCTTAAGAAAAAGTTTCCAACATTTGAAGTCTAAGCTGATATGGTCATTCTACATTTGAAAAATTTTGGCATTTCATTGTTTCATTTGTTTCACCCTTTTCCTTTCTAGTCATTTTGCTTGTATAGTTTCATGTCTTCCTGTCACTGTACTCATAGTTGTTATGTGTTGTGCATTAGAAGCATCCATTCTACACCAGTCCAGCTGTTATCATGGCACACGGTGAGCAGCCCATTCCTGGTATCATCAATTATTCCCATCATGCAACAGGCAGTACAGATGAACGGGTAAGACAGTAGGCTTTTGCGTTGATGGTTTTGCAAGCATATAGCCTACATCCTATTCTTGGAGATAGGCTATAAAATATTATGGAAGATGTGTTTTATTCTGAAGGATTCTGAAAGATCTTCAGCATGCTTTATTTCCAAAAGTGTAATTGCCACTGAGCCTATTCCATCAAGGAATTTAATTTAATAGAGTTTCTCCTATACCTGAAATACTCTAATATCTTTAAGATTCTTAAAATACAAAGAAATTGGTCAAACTAATACTTAATTTCTATTAACCTTCTTTTTGCCTCATAATCTTTCATCTTTCTTTTCCTTCATTATGTTCTCATTAAAACCATTTAGAGAGTTGACTCTTCATACAATTTCTGAGATTACAAATCTTCAGATAAAAACTTGTAAGAATGCATATCACTTGTTTTAATCACTGGATGAATGATAGTTTGTAAATGTTCCAGGGTAGAAAAGATTAAACTGATAAGTATAACTGACTAAACAGTAATAATTTAGATGATGAGTGCCAAAAAAATCTCTCAGTCCCTACTATGGATATAAAATGAGAGGCAGTTGGTTAAGCTTCTGCCTTCAGCTCAGGTCATGATCCCAGGGTCCTGGGATCGAGCCCTAAATTGGGCTCTCTGCTCAGCTGGGGGTCTGCTTCTCCCAATCCCTCTGCCCCAACTCCTGCTCTCTCTCTCTCACATGCTCTCTCTAATAAATAAAATCTTTAAAAAAAATTAAAAAAAATGAGAGGCAAAAAAAAAAAGAAGTAATAAAGTAAAATTTGGCTTAAAATCCTTAGGGAGATCCAATTAAAAAATGAACAGAAGACATGAACAGACTTTTCTGGAAAGGAGACATCCAGATGGACAACAGACACATGAAAAGATGATCAATATCACTTATCATCAGGGGAATGCAAATCCAAACTACATTGAGATATCACCTCACACCTATCAGTAGGGCTAAAATCAGTAACACAAGAAACAAGTGTTGGCAAGGAAGTGGAGAAATAGGAACCCTCATGCAATATGGCAATATAGAGTCTCTAAGGGCAGAAGTGAAAGCTGAACTGGCAGAACTTAAAAATGCTATCAGTGAGATCCAATCTAATCTAGATACTCTAACAACTACGGTAAATGAGGCAGAAGAACGAATTTGTGAACTAGAAGGCCAATTGATAAAAAAGAAGGAAAAAGAGGAGGCCTGGGAGAAACAGCCCAAAATCCATGAAAACAGAATTAGAGAAATAAGTGACACCATGAAACATTACATTGTCAGAATTATTGGGGAGGAGAGAGAGAGAAAGAGGACTAGAAGATATATTTGAGCAAATCGTAGCTGAGAACTTCCCTAATCTGGGGAATGAAACAAACATTTGAGTCCTAGAGGCAGAAAGGACCCCTCCCAAGATCAAGGAAAATAGACCAATGCCCCGGCATGTAATAGTAAAACTCACAAATCTTAGAAACAAGGAAACCATCTTAACGGCAATGAGGGGGAAGAGATTCCTTACCTACAGAGGGAGGAATATCAAAATAATGTCAGACCTATCCACAGGGACCTGGCAAGTCAGAAAGGGCTGGCAAAACATATTCAGGGTACTAAACGAGAAGAACATGCAGCCAAGAATACTTTATCCAGCAAGGCTGTCATTTAGAATGGTTGGAGAGATGCAGAGCTTCCGAGACTGACAGAAACTGAAAGAATATGTGACCACTAAGCCGGCCCTGCAAGAAATATTAAGGGGGGTTCTATAAAAGGAGAAAATCCCCAAGAGTGATATAGAACAGAAATTTACAAAGACAATCTGTAGAAACAAGGACTTTACAGGCAACATGATGACAATAAAGTCATATCTTTGAAAAATCACTCTCAACGTGAACAGACTAAATGCTCCCATAAAATGGCACAGGGTTGCAGATTGGATAAAAAGACAGGACCCATCCATATGCTGTCTACAAGAGACTCATTTTGAATATGAAATACATCCAGACTGAAAGTGAAAGTGGCATCTTCCATACCAATGGACCTCAAAAGAAAGCCGGGGTAGCAATTCTTATATCAGACAAATTAGATTTTAAGCTAAAGACTGTAGTTAGAGACACAGAAGGACACTATATCATTCTTAAAGGGTCTATCCAACAAGAAGATCTAACAATTGTAAATATCTACGCCCCCAGCATGGCAGCAGCCAACTACATAAGCCAACTGTTAACCAAAATGAAGAGTCATATTGATAATATGCGTTAATTGTAGGAGACCTCAATACTCCACTCCCAGCAATGGACAGATCATCTAAACAGAAAATCAACAAAGAAATAAGAGCTTTGAATGACACACTGGACCAGATGGACCTCATAGATATACACAGAACATTCCACCCTGAAACAACAGAATACTCATTCTTCTCGAATACACACAGAACTTTCTCCAGAATAGACCACGTACTGGGTCACAAATCAGGTCTCAACCAATACCAAAAGATCGGGATTATTCCCTGCATATTCTCAGACCATAATGCTTTAAAACTGGAACTTAATCACAAGAAAAAATTTGGAAGAAATTCAAACACTTGGAAGCTAAAGACCACTCTGCTCAAGAATGTTTGGGTCGGGCGCCTGGGTGACTCAGTTGGTTAAGCGACTGCCTTCGGCTCAGGTCATGATCCTGGAGTCCCGGGATCGAGTCCCGCATGGGGCTCCCTGCTCAGTGAGGAGCCTGCTTCTCCCTCTGACCCTCCCCCCTCTCATGTACTCTCTCTCATTCTCGCTCTCTCAAATAAATAAATAAATCTTTAAAAAAAAAAAAAAGAATGTTTGGGTCAATCAGGAAGTCAAAGAAGAACTTAATTTATGGAAACCAATGAGAACAAAAACACATCAGTCCAAAACCTATGGGATACTACAAAGGCGGTCCTAAGGGGGAAATACATAGCCATCCAAGCCTCACTCAGAAAAATAGAAAAATCCCGAATTCACCAACTAACTTTACACCTTAAAAACCTAGAGAAAAAGCAATAAACCATGCCTAAGCCATGCATTAGAAGAGAAATACTTAAGATGAGAGCAGAGAACAATGAATTAGAAACCAGAAACTCAGTAGATCAGATCAACAAAACTAGAACCTGGTTCTTTGAAAGATTAATGACATCGGTAAACCACTGGCTAGACTTATCCAAAAAAAAAGAGAAAGGACCAAAATTAATAAAATTATGAATGAAAGGGGAGAGATCATGACTAACACCAAGGAAATAGAAACAATTATTAGAAATTATTATCAACATCTATATGCCAGTAAATTAAGCAACCTGGAAGAAATGGATGCCTTCCTGGAAACCTACAAACTGCCAAGACTGAAACAGAAAGGAATTGACAACCTGAATAGGCCAATAACCAGTAACAAGATTGAAGCTGTGATTAAAAACCTCCCAAAAAACAAGAGTCCAGGGCTTGATGGATTCCCTGGAGAATTTATCAAACATTCAAAGAAGAAATACCTATTCTACTGAAACTGTGTCAAAAAATAGAAATAGAAGGAAAGCTTCCAGACTCATTCTATGAGGCCAGCATTTCCTTAATCCCCAAACCAGGCAAAGACCCCATCAAAAAGGAGAATTTCAGATTGATATCCCTGATGAATATGGATTCCAAAATTCTCAACAAAATCCTAGCTAATAGGATCCTACAATACATTAAAAGGATCATCCACCACGACCAAGTGCGATTTATCCCCAGGATGCAAGGTAGAATAAGAGGAGAGAGAAGAACCATATGGTCCTCTGAATTGATGCAGAAAAAACATTTGACAAAATACAGCATCCTTTCCTGATTAAAACTCTTCAGAGTATAGGAATAGAGGGAACATTCCTCAGTTTTATAAAATCCATCTTTGAAAAACCCACAGCAAATATCATCCTCAATGGGGAAAAGCTGAGAGAGCCTTTCCCTTAAGATCAGGAACACAACTAGGATGTCGACTCTCACCACTGTTGTTCAACATAGTACTAGAAGTCCTAGCAACAGCACTCAGACAACAAAAAGAAATAAAAGGTATTCATATTGGCAAAGAAGAAGTCAAAGATGACATGATACTTCATGTGGAAAACCCAAATGACTCCATCCCCAAAATGCTAGAACTCATACAGCAATTCAGTAATGTGGCAGGATGCAAAATCAATGCACAGAAATCAGTTGATTTCTTATGCACTAACAATGCAACTGTAGAAAGAAATATTAGAGAAATGATTCCATTTACAATAGCACCAAAAACCATAAGATACCTCGGAATAAACCTAACCAAAGAGGTAAAGGATCTATATTCTAGGAACTACAAAACATTCATGAAAGAAATTGAAGAAGACACAAAAAGATGGAAAAACATTCCATGCTCCTGGATCAGAAGAATAAACATTGTTCAAATGTCTATGCTACCCAGAGCAACCTATACCTTCAACGCCACCCCGATCGAAATTCCAATGACATTTTTCAAAGTGCTGGAACAAACAATCCTAAAATGTGTGTGGAATCAGAAAAGACCCCTAATTGCCAAGGAAATGTTGAAAAAGAAAAACAAAGCTGGGGGCATCACGTTGCCCGTTTTCAAGCTTTATTACAAATCTGTGATCACCAAGACAGCATGGTACTGGCACAAAAACAGACATATAGACCAATGGAACAGAATAGAGAGCCCAGATATGGACCCTCAACTCTATGGTCAAATAATCTTCGACAAAGCAGGAAAAAAAATATGCAATGGAAAAAAGACAGTCTCTTCAATAAATGGTGCTGGGAAAGTTGGACAGCCACATGCAGAAGAATGAAATTTGACCATTCTCTAACACCCAACACAAAGATAAACTCAAAATGGATGAAAGACCTCAATATGAGACAGGAATCTATTAAAATCCTAGAGGAGAACATAGGCAGTGACCTCTTCGACATCGGCCACAGCAACTTCTTTCATGATACATCTCCAAGGCTAGTGAAGTAAAAGCAAAA